AAGATAAAAAAATGTATTGATGTCCTTGGTCACATGTGAAGACATTGCTACTGGGAATTGATATAGAAATATCAGAAAAACTGTATTGTCATCTGTACAACAATTTCCTGTGGGCCATTACTTTTGGATAACTTTGCTAAGACATTTGAAGACAGGATATGTTCTGGTAATCAGTAGCATTACGTAATACCACACGTTTACTTAATACGTTGAGTGTTTCTCTGTTCATTAAGCTACTACCTCTAGGTAATTATAGAGCATTCAAAACCTCAAAGGCTTCCACTTCAAGTACACCATACAATTGAAAAGCGTTACTCAGTTTTAGTGATTATTATAAATTGGCAGTAGTTTAGACTTGAGGCCACTGAAGTTTCTGTGTACACTATAATTTAATCCAGAATTCACTTATGAAAAATTGTAAAGGAAAAGAGCACTTGTCGAAAATGTGAAACCTATAACTGTTCCCATAATGTATGTTTTACTGTTGATTGATACTGATACATTTTCACCTTATTCACAAACTGTCCTGGCTTATGTTCAAACTGGAAAAAAGTTAGATATAACAGCCATATACAGTTTTTGTTAAATGGGCTGTGAGAGAATGACACCTTTGCTATGGTTTGAAGGCAGGGGTCAGGGACACACATGGCTTCAGTGAAATCTCACTTTTGCAAGTCTCTGAAAGTGATAACAATCTAATGGTTGAATCTGGCTATAAGTGTTTCTCATGGATAAGAGAAAGAAGGAAGAAACAATAGTCAAAATTCCTAAAAAAAAAAGTGCTTAAAAAAGCACCAATGGGCTGGCATCACGCACAAATTTCAGATTTGTAAGAGACCTACACTCCTGACATCTAAATTTAGAAAACACTGTTCACCAGAAGAAAAAAGGCTAGTGCATTGGTTTTGCAATTACACATGCTACTTTCTGTTGCAGTTAAAGATTAGCTAAAGCCATCACTTTCACCTACAGTGTTGCTACAAACATAAACAACAACAGGCTCACTTTGCCTCTTTAGATTTGGAACAATCAGAAAACAACTGATAAAAAGATGTTCTAGAAAACTAGGTGACACTTCCTTTCATTGGGAATGTTTTGATGCAGGTCTCTGCTAAGAATTTTATGCTACATTCTCTAAATTCCCATCAAAATATAGACCGTTTTGGGGAGTTGACCTTTACCAACTACTAGAGGCCAATTGGAATGACAACTTCCCAGAGTGTTTAAGAAAACCACTACAGCTACTAAAAGACCTCATGACATCAAGCTTTCATCTAGGACCATATGAATCATATTATGCAATCCTTTGGGTGATATACAGTATAAGGGTTGGGTCATCTTTCTAGGTGTGCTAAAATTAATTTCCTGTTATTGTCCAAACTTGTAAGGAGGTGTAACAGAGTATTTAAAAGATTTAACCCTATGTCCCCACAGTAGTATGGTAACAGAGGTTCTGTTCTCTGATTGGTGGAACGTTTTCCTAAATTGAGAGAACATTTGTTGCTAAAGTGTGAAGATCATTCTGCAGTTACAGTGAAGAAAGCAGCATGTTTTCATAGGTAGGAGGCCCTGGTCACCAGGCAGAGTTCCCATCCTGGAGTTAAAGTCCAACTCCAGACACAATAATTTTACTAGATTTTGAGCTTTTATTAAGTGGTGAAAAAGAGGTTTGTTTAGTTGTTCCAGTACAGGTCTCATAGACACAAGCGCTGTTGACAAGGGGTGAAAGCCAATCTGTTCCTGCAGAGTGATAAAGTTGAGGTTCAAATGCGTCTTTACTAGGGTTAGAGTTGCTATTAGGAAAAAAAAGATCTAATAGTGGCCCCACAAAGCACAGCTCCTACTGTACCTCCAGACATGAGCACTATGTCATAGACATAATTTGTATTGACAAGGGGTGAAGGCCACTTTATTTCTGCAGAAAGATGGTGTTGAGGTTCTGATGACTCAAAGAAACCACTGAGTATTGCAGGATGTAGCCTGCGTGCACTGGCTGGGTATGTGGTCCTGAAAATTCCTGGTGGTCTAAGCTCTAAAAGTGAATATAAACATATGATGCTCTAATCAACATTAAAGCTCTCCTGTTATTAACATTTATTACATACTTCAGTCTATATGAACGTAATAACATTTTAGTAAAGTAGTGTTTTCCTACAGAGTTTCTTACTAATTTTCTATAAAATGGCTAGATCTACCTATCTATCTATCTATCTATCTATCTATCTATCTATCTATCTACAGTATCTATCTCTCAATTTATGCTGGTACCAAAGAAAACAGCTTCTATGTAAGCTTATACAACAGGATCTTGTAAGAGATCAGAGCTTCTACATGTGAGTCACTTGGCAGCCCTGCAGATTTATTCCTTATGACCAAATACTGAACTTTAACTAAGCTTCAAAGTTGCCAAGCTTTTTAAACCTGAAATTAGATTTCATTTCCCTTTGATTATTTTCTTTCAGACTCACAGTTATATTTTAGTGTCCTTCACCTTCTCCTTCTTTATTATTTATAACCAACACACTTTGAGCAATGACCAGTATTAATTTGTGACCTTCTGTCCTTTTGCCTGATTCACTTCTTTTTTCAAACCCAAGATTGAAGCAAATATTCTGTGACTTACTGAGTGAATAATGAAAATTACCTAACCACAGCTTTCTTGAGGAGAAAAGGGATATTTTTCAATTGCGGTTATTGAGTAAAATAAAATAGATATGTGGGACTACACATTTAGAATACACTATGATTGCTAAGGCTGCAACTTCTGCTCAAAGGAAGTAATAAGGAAATGTAATTAAGGTATTAATTATGGGTTAACTTCACCCAAAAGATCAATATATTATTGCATGAAAAATTATATATCAGATTTTAGTAAATGCAGAAGTAAACCATTTGACTCTTCTTATATATCTTGGAGACTCAATTCTTTGTGCTTCATCTCCTGGAACTACAAACCCACTGTAGCCAGAATGAGGCTGAAACATGGAAAAGGGGAAACACCCAAGATTCCCAGGTAGACAGGAAGAAGGCCTGGAACTATGGCAATAAAGCAGTGCAGATTTGCCAAATATTTAGCACAACCCTGTTGATTGGGTTACATAATTATGTGTAAAACACTTGTATATATATATATTTTTTTATGGGAAGAATTTCAGTGGCTGCTATAGACAATGGAAGCTGGTATTCCTTTAGATGATGTAATTATAAGATGTACTGCTTATTTCTATCAAATAGAAGCTATAAATATGGACTAAACATTATTTTCTATACAATATGCAATAGTTTACATATTTATGTTTTCAGGTGATCACTTGTAAAATGTGAGAAAAACTGAGCAGGAATAATCAAAACAGAGAAAAGTATTGTGTTTTCTACATGTGGGGTTTCTCAGTACGATATTTAACATATTTCCTCAACATAAAAACACTTTTCAGTTTAGAAAAAGGTGTAAAAATATGCAGAAATAGTGGGGTTGTTAGTATGCATAAACTCTGCTCTGTACTTTACAATGGATCTCAAGCTAAGTATACAGTTACATTACATGCTGTGTATGTGAAATATTTTATTTGCAAAGGATTTGTAATTTTGTTGAGCTATCCTTGTGATCCAGACACTTCAAACATCCAGACAGTATAACCAACTCATGTATAGCTTGGTTCACAACCCCAGTGTCAGGGTTATGGGTCAGGCTCGGAGACCAGTAACTATAGCAGTAGAAAGACTCCCACCCTTCAGCAGGATAGGTATACAAGCAAGTCACTATCGTGGATGACGCTGGCTCACCTGAGATGCAGGGTCTAAGCACTGGCCAGTATCCACCATGGAGGTGGAGATGGGTTTTTGCTGTGTGTTACTGCCAGGTCACAGTCCTCAGGACTACCTTACCAGGTGGTAAGAAAGCTGAGGGCCAAGTGGCAGATATAGCTGGTAGGGCTCAAGCAGAAGCATAGTGAAAGAACAAGCCAAAGGTCAGTAACGAGTGGTAGCAAAGATACAGATGGCAGCAGGTAACAAGAGTAAGATATTGGCTTGGGAAAGCACATTAATCTGGCAAATAGGAAGTGCAAAGGCATGTCATTAATAGGATGTTCATGGGAGGAGCAAAGAGTTCAAGGTTCAAGACAAATAAGACACAAGGCAAGGTTGTCTTAAGAGATCATCAGGGAGTAGTCCAGCATCTCAGGTGGCTCAGCAAGAAGGGTTACTGTCATACACAGAAAAGGTCCTGGATTTAGATCCATGTCCTGATACCCAATCTGTTGCCTGAACATAGAAATGGAGCATAACACTGATGAGCCATCATTCTGCATTCTTATCCTTTCTGCAATCCCTGTGTATAAAATTGCAGTAATGGACAGTCAAGTGTTTTGACCCATCATCTCTCACCAATATGCAGAGTACTACGGGATAGAAATATATAGGCAAATTTAGGCACCTATACAAATTGTATTGCAGTTTACCAGTCATTAGATGTGGTGACTGCATTAGTTTTCATTTTTCAGGTTAATAATCCTTTTGCTAATGCACAAATCATGTTAGCTAGGACTAAACAACAAATATCCTTTTTGGTGTTAATTACTAGTCCCATTAATCCATTATACTATGGAGCTGAACAAAGCAGATGTGTTTAACCGGCTCCCGCCAGCCATATAAGGTAATGACGGGCGCAAGGTGGTTCTCTTGTTCTGGGAGGATGTCATATGACGTCCTCCCATTCTAATCACACATGCATGTCTCCGGCAGCACGCAGCGTGGCGATTGGTGGTGTCCCTCAGACACAGTGGATCACCAATCAACAGAAAGAGCCGAAGATGTTGGCTCGGTCTTGTGATCAGCTGTGTCCAATCACAGCTGATCACATGTAAATAGGGAAAATGCCGGTTATCGGCTGACAGCTCAAGAGGAGAGCCGGTAATTGGCTTTACTCAGAGGGGACATGTGCACTGATCATCAGGGCACTGATTATCAGTGTGTTCTGATGATCTGTGTAGCCCCAGCAGTGCCACCTGTCAGTGTCCATCAGTGCCAGCTGTCAGTGCTCATCAATGCCACCTGCCAGTGCCCATCAGTGCCACATCACTGCCACATATCAGTGCCTACCAGTGCACATCAATGCCATATATCAGTGCCCATCTGATCTGCCTTTCAGTGTTACCTATCAGTGCCAGTCAGTGCCACCTATCAGTGCCAGTCAGTGCTACCTATCAGTGCCGCCAATCAGTTCCACCTATCAGTGCACATCGGTGCCGTCTATCAGTGCCCGTCAGTGCTGCCTATCAGTGCCAGTCAGTGCCACCTAACAGTGCCAGTCAGTGTCACCTAACATTGCCAGTCAGTGCCACCTTTCAGTGCCAGTCAGTGCTGCCTATCAGTGCCACCGATCAGTGCCGCCTATCAGTGCCATATATGAGTGCTGCCTTTCAGTGTTCATCAGTGATGCCTGTCAATGCCCATCAGTGCCACCTACCAGTGCCTCCTCATCAGTGCCCATCAGTGTCACCTATCAGTGTCCATCAGTGCAGCCTATCAGTGCCCATCACTGCAGTCTCATTAGCGCACATCAGTGAAGGAAAAAAAAATCAATTATTTACAAAATTTTATAACAAAAACTAAGAAAAAAAGTTTTTTTTTTAAATTTTCAGTGGTTTTTGGTTTGTTTAGCAAAAAAATGAAAAACCCAGAGGTGATTAAATACCACCAAAAGAAAGCTCTATCTGTCTCAAAAACAATTATAAAAATTTCATATGGGTACAATGTTGTATGACCGCGCAATTGTCATTCAAAATGTGACAGCGCTGAAAGCTGAAAATTGGCCTGGGCAGGAAGGGAATATAAATGCCTTGTACGTTAATGGTTAAAGTACAGCCTGTGTGAAAAACATGGCTGCTTACATAAATACAATGGAGAAATAAGTGTAGACACAAAAGGAACAGGATGTGTGTTATTTGCAGGATCACTAGCTGAAAATAATGGAAAATCCTGAAAAACTGCACCCAACATGTCTAAGGACAGGTAAGCTGACATATATATAATTTAAATTTTTTGGGTTTAGGTATGCTTTAATAAATACATACAGTAAATGCTTTGATTTGTTTTTTTCTTTGAACTGCACTTAAGTTTTAAATACTGATTTTTATGACAACATACAGAAGCTATAATACTGAGAAATGCAGGCAAAACCTAATCTTGTGCCTTCAGTGATAATTGTATTATGTGAACTTACTTTATAATAAAGTAGAACTTGTGGTATATTAAAATGAATTGGTCTGCTTTTGAACATCTGGCCCACACTTTACCTGCTTCGATTTGCAATACAACCCAATTTGCAGAGTGTATACCTGCAGCCCACACGTTTTTTATGGAAACCATATAAAAGACATTGCTGAATTACAGAGAAAATACTTATTTACCAATACTACAAAGAAAGAGACTGAAAAAACAGAAGTACCAGACAAATTATTTACAGACAACGAAGAGTTTATTTTATTATAAAAATGTCAAAAGAACAAGCCAACATGTTTTGAGGGTCTCCTTCATCAGGGCTTAGAATTGCTGATATGAATCTGCACGGTCTCGCACTTGAATAGGTTAAAACTTTATAAGCATTAAAATCTCAGTATTAAGCACAAGCTGCAGTAGCAAACTCTTCATGCTTTGAAAAAGGTCCGGGGAAACCTTAATAACAGTGTGCAATGTTTATTGCTTTACTCCACCTTACTGCTTTGGAAATTACTACTTTATGTTGTCTTTTTCCCTTTCCTTTTCCTTCTCCTTCTCCTTTTCCTTCTCCTTTTCCTTCTCCTTCTCCTTTACCTTTTCTTTCTCCTTCTCCTTTTCTTTTCTCCTTCTCCTTTTCCTTCTCCTTTTCCTATTCCTTTCCCTTCTCCTTTTCCTTCTCCTTTTCCTTCTCCTTTTCCTTCTCCTTTTCCTTCTCCTTTTCCTTCTCCTTCTCCTTTACCTTTTCTTTCTTCTTCTCCTTTTCCTTTTCCTATTCCTTTTCCTTCTCCTTTTCCTTCTCCTTTTCCTTCTCCTTTTCCTTCTTTTCCTTCTCCTTTTCCTTCTCCTTTTCCTATTCCTTTTCCTTCTCCTTTTCCTTCTCCTTTTCCTTTACCTTTTCTTTCTCCTTCTCCTTTTCCTTCTCCTTTTCCTTTTCCTATTCCTTTTCCTTCTCCGTTTCCTTCTCCTTTTCCTTCTCCTTTTCCTATTCCTTCTCCTTTTCCTTCTCCTTTTCCTATTAATTTTCCTTCTCCTTTTCCTTCTCCTTTTCCTTCTCCTTTTCCTTCTCCTTCTCCTTTTACCTTTTCTTTCTTCTTCTCCTTTTCCTTTTCCTATTCCTTTTCCTTCTCCTTTTCCTTTTCCTTCTCCTTTTCCTATTCTTTTTTTCTTCTCCTTTTCCTTCTTTTCCTTCTCCTTTTCCTTTTCCTTCTCCTTTTCCTATTCCTTTTCCTTCTCCTTTTCCTTCTCCTTTTTCCTTTACCTTTTCTTTCTCCTTCTCCTTTTCCTTCTCCTTTTCCTTTTCCTATTCCTTTTCCTTCTCCGTTTCCTTCTCCTTTTCCTATTCCTTCTCCTTTTCCTTCTCCTTTTCCTTCTCCTTCTCCTTTTCCTTTTCCTTCTCCTTCTCCTTCTCCTTTTCCTTCTCCTTCTCCTTTTCCTTTTCCTTCTTCTTTTTCCTTCTCCTTTTCCTATTAATCACAAAACATTTAGGAGGAATGGAGTTATGACACACTGTTCAAATGGTTGGCTAGTATCTATGGATCTGAAATAATAAAACCAAGACAAGACAGCACTACAGAACACAGTATAACACATTAAAGAAACAGTGCAATATGGGTTTGTTTTCCAAAACGTTTCACATTTTATCAAGTATAGTGCTCTAATAGCAGAAACTAAGCTGTTTGCTTGTTTTCTGTTTGATAGCCTTGATTCTGGAATCGCATGACCCTTTACATATTAGACAAATCTGCATGCCCATAAATTCCTGATTCGTACAAAGATTAAATTCTTCTGGTCCGTCCTGTTGACAAGTAGATAGGCTTGTCTCTACTTCTTAATGTACCGTATAAATCTCATCATTATTGGTTAGTTATGCAGAGAAGACATAAAGAAGTACAGCCAAAGTTCTTAAAGGAAAAGTACAGCCAACGTTCTTAAAGGCGAAGTACAGCCAAAGTTCTTTTGACTGTACTTCTCTTGTGGATCACAATTCTGCACTCCTGTGACCCATTTTCAGCTTCAGCGGGCTGAAAACTGATGTTGGCTGATGTCATGCAGCTGGTCCAGGCTGGGGAAAGATCCAAACTTCAAAGTCGGGATCCACCCCAGAGTCTGGAGAAGCACCTGGCTCAGCCACTCAGTGAGCCACTTGGAGCCTGAACCAGCTGCTCCCTCCACTGCCCAGCACACCAGTGAGCACGTGGGGGGGGGGGGGGATGAGCAGGGCAGACAGTGGTGACTACCAGTCACCACTCTCTGCTCAGACCGGCTGTGAGAACTCAGCGATCATGTGATTGCTGAGTTCTCAAATGTAGAGCCGGTAGGGAACAGATGCAGCATCGGACCGATGGTGCATCCACCTAGGTAAGTATAAATAGAAAAAAAAAAAAGTCCACACTTCTCTTTTAAGCTAGATTCACACCTATCCTTTCTTGACAGATTTATTTTCAATTGAAAAAAGTAAATGGATAAAATCAGGTATTTTGATATATAAAGCAATATGCATAATAACATGAATTGGAGTCCTTCATGCTTGCATTGACACACCGTACAACATACAGTATGTTGACATTTACATTACTATCATCAAATGCATAGGCGTGAAATAAGGCATAACCTACCTATTGACATAAGACAATGGTCTACAGAAATGGACAATTTCAATGAAAAAATATTATTTTTTCAAAAATCCTAAAAGAAAAGTTGAGTGTGAAAAAAAGATATCACAGACAAACATTGCCAAAACATCAGTGTTTTTTTGCATGTCTAACTATTTATGGTAAGATAACTAGTACAGCCTTGTAAAAAACAACAGAGTGCCCTATGTATGTTCACATTTATTCAGTACAGTCAATGCTGAGGAAATACACTGCTTAAAAAAATTAAAGGAACACTTTGAAAACACATCAGAACTCAATGGGGAAAAATATTGTGCTGGATATCTATACTGATATGGACTGGGTTATGTTTTAGGAATGTAAGGATGCCCCATCGTTTGACTGAAATAAAAATGATCAAGCTACAGAGGACTGAATTCAAAGACACCCAGAAAATCAAAGAAAAAAAATGATGCATGCCTGACAACATCGGATCATGCTCCTAATGAGACAACGGATGGTGTCCTTGGGAATTTCCCCCCCGGATCTGGACCAGGGCATCACTTAGCTCCTGGACAGTCTGAGGTGCAACCTGGTGGTGTCGGATGGACCAAAACATGATATCCCAGAGGTGTTCTATTGGATTCAGGTCAGGCGAGTGTGGGGGCCATTCAATGGTATGAATTCCTTCATCCTCCAGGAACTGCCTGCATACTCTTGCCACATGAGGCCTGGCATTGTCATGCACCAGGAGGAACCCAGGACCCACTGCACCAGCATAGGGTCTGACAATGGGTCCAAGGATTTCATCCCAATACATAATGGCAGTCAAGGTACCATTGTCTAGCCTGTAGAGGTTTGTGCATCCCTCCATGGATATGCCTCACCAGACCATCACTGACCCACCACCAAAACGGTCGTGCTGAACGATGTTACAGGCAGCATAATGTTCTACATGGCTTCTCCAGACCCTTTCACGTCTGTCACATGTGCTCAGGGTGAACCTGCTCTCATCTGTGAAAAGCACAGGGTGCCAGTGGCGGACCTGCCAATTCTGATGTTCAATGGCAAATGCCAATTGAGCTCTATGGTGCCAGGTAGTGAGCACAGGGCCCACTAGAGGATGTCGGGCTCTCAGGCCACCCTCATGAAGTCTGTTTCTGATTGTTTGGTTAGAGACATTCATGCCAGTGGCCTACTAGAGGTCATTTTGTAGGGCTCTGGCAGTGCTCATCCTGTTCCTCCTTACACAAAGGAGCAGATACCAGTCCTGCTGATGGGTTAAGGACCTTCTACAGTCCTGTCCATCTCTCCTAGAGTAACTGCCTGTCTCCTGCAATCTCCTCCATGCTCTTGAGACTGTGCCTGGAGGCACAGCAAACCTTCTGGTAATGGCATGTGCCATCCTTGAGGAGTTGGACTGCCTGTGCAGCCTCTGTAGGGTCCAGGTATCGACTCATGCTACCAGTAGTGACACTGACCCTAGTCAAATGCAAAAATAGTGAAAAACAAAAGATGAATAGGGAAAAAATTGTCAATGGACTCCACCTGTAAAACCATTCCTGTTTTGGGGGTCATCTCATTGTTGCCCCCATCTAATTGTTGCCCATCTAGTGCACTTGTTGTTAATTGCATTACCACCAAAGCAGCTGAAACTGATTAACAACCCTCTCTGCTACTTAACTGACCAGATCAATATCCCAGGAGTTTAATTGACTTGATGCTATACTCTGATTAAAAAGTGTTCCTTGCTAT